TAAATATAATAAATATAATTCATTTATCTAATATGTCCACTTGATCAACGTTGACAACTTTAGCAACTTTGTCAACTCGTCAACTATGTCGATCATTTAGATCACATGACTTATTTTTAGCGCAGTCACAGATCACGGCTTCATCATAAACCTTATCAAAGCTACCCTATCCTACGCAACTCCAATCTTTCTAACCTCACTCAATTCCTTGTATCTCAAGTGGACATCTCGTAGCTATTTAAAAGGCCGAAATGACTGGTAATTATTAGGAAAAAGTATCTTAATGAGTTTTGACTGAATAAACAGTACATTTATAAATTAATGCATCTTTAAATATTTATACCTCGTTTATTTATTTATTTCGGCTTTATCTGTATATAATATTCGTAGGTTGTTGTTCATGAACATTATACATATTAGGCGCAAAGTTATTATGATGATAATTATTTATATTCATATTATTGTTATTGTTGTCATCATTTCCTTTTACACCTTCCAAGTAATTTACGTCTACGACATACTCTCTTAAGAAAACTTCTAAAGCATCAACACGAAGTTGTAAGGCTGCATGCTCATCACGAAAAGCGTCTCTAGAAGAGGGAGGTGGAGTACTATTAACTAGCGGAATTATCGGAAGAGTTTTTTTAAGTTTATTATGTGCTCTTTTACGTATTCCATAACAATAAAATTGCACACAACCCCATGGACGAATCAGGTCTACACCTATTTGCAAGGGAAGGAATCATATGTCAGATATCAAAGATGAACTTGAACATTTTTTTCTTTAAAAAAAAAGTGATTACCAAATAGAGCCGCGTACAATGCCGCAGCTAGACCCCAAGCACCACCCACAAGACCAAACATGCTGAGTAACTTTTTATTAGGAACCAAAAAGGTTATTAAATTATAATTTAACTTTTTAATCTAACTTGATAAGAAATTACTTACAGTTCGTGTCCTATATTGTAACAACAATTAAATACGTTAATAAATTTTGTTTTAATTTTTAATTCATACTTCGTCGAAAATAATTAACATGCCTTTGTTCTGTCTCTTTTTTTATAAGGAAATTTTGTACAGTTAAAACGAAAAAAAATAAAAATAAATATTTTACATCATAATATAATAAACAAAAAGAATATTATTATACATACGTATATTTGACATAATATAACCTTGTCTATAATAAGTTGGTTCGAATCCGAGATGATCTTTGAACTTTGGAATAATTGTGTCTCTTATGTTTTTAGTAAATTGTATACGTGCCAACTTAAATATAATAATTATGAAAAAAATAATTTCTTCATTAATCCTTATTTTTCTTTAAAAAAAAAAAGATAGAAAGAATAAATTTTTAAAAAAAATGATTACCTGATTTCTAACCATAAAATAAACGTTGCCCGCAGTTAATTCTTTAATATATGCAGGTGATTTATCAATGTTGAATTCACCTTGATATCTCATAGGACTAAATTCTAAATAAAACATATCGATATGTATAGTATATTAATTAAATTAATTAATTGGAATTTTTTTTTTGAAAAAAAAAAAAGTCTGAAAAAAAATTTTGTTAATGTACCAGAATCGGTTGCAGTGAATGTCATAAGATCTTGACCTTTAGTTGCATTATAATTTGTATCAGCAATCGTTGCAAGCACAGATACGCCCAATATTGCATTTCCATCAATTTCTGGTTTTACATATGTCAAATTTTGGACATTTTTAAAATAACCGGTATACTTGTTATTTCTTAAAGAAGCCTTTGGTTGTTCTATATATTCATCACAACTATAATTATTATCTTCTTTTGATCCTCCTATATACCAAAATTTATTGTTAATTATTCAAATTCAAATTCAAATTCAAAAAAAAAAAAATTATTTTAAATTGCTTACTATGAAAAAAACACGTCAATTTGAATGGATAAAGGAATTGAAATAGCATATCTAAAAGAATAATCATTATTTTAATAAAAAAGATATTACGATGGATTTTCTTGCTTTTCTTTCTTACATACCAGGAATTGGAATTTCCGTTGCTTCAATGACTGTATTTATTAACACTGGCTCATCACTAGTCACATCGATAATCAAAATAGTTAAATATCCTGTGAGGGAAGATATTAATATTATCATAATCAATATTCTTAATAGAATAACAGATGAAGGTTCCGTCTTTCGATGGCGAGTAAATAATTCATTAAAACGCATTTTTCACTTTGTAAATTCAAAACAAAACAAAAAAAAAAATAAAAATAAAAAAAAAAAATTTTAAAATTTATACTTTATTTATATGGGGAGGGGAGTGTTTACGTTTTAGAGTGTTACACTATAAAGACACCGCTATTAAAAGACCCAAACAGTGATTTTCCATTGTTATTCTCAAACGAAATGGTAGCACAACATTGAAATGTTTAGAGAACAAAGTAGTAGTTCTGAGGTCTAGAAGCCCTGGGGGTTAGCTCTTGGGGGTGTCGTCTAGATGGCAAGCCTTGAACCAGTATTTAGCGGGCGGGTTCTGGTTAGAACTTGTGTCTAACCACAACCTTAAGGGTCTTAGATTAGCATCATGTCTACTTTGTAGTCCTAAACTATGCGATCGCTATATAGATTCCTAGTGCTTCGGGTACTGCAACTAAAAAAAAAAAAAAAAAGAGAAACAAAAGTAGTCATATTTAGCCTTTATTGAGAAATTTTCGGCCGATTATGAGATGGTAGTTGGTTTTATACTTTGCCTTATGAACCTTAAATCTTTTATATAAAAGGAAATTTATTTTATAACGACTTATCAACTTCTGATTGTAAGCTTTCCTTACATAAATCTGTTCGAATAAGTATTACACACGACAACATTCTTGTGCTTAAGGCGCAGTGCACAACCTCTGTAAAAATAAACAAATTGGTATGTTATTTTAACCGGAAGGTTGAGATTAATTTTCGTTCAAAGTAATTATGCAACACAATAAATATGCCTTTTTAATTTTAAAAAAAATTGGTGGTTTATTTATCTGTTGAATCTACTTAAAGAGAGATATTCACTCAATCTACAATTGGACAAATAAAAAGTACAATAAAACTTTTCTTCAAAATGAATTAAGCTTAAGAGATAATTATAAAGCGTTTTATCTTCAATAAAAAGCATAGAATTGCTTGTATTGATCAGAGAATTGGAATGAAGTTTATTATTTTGGGTCGATCAAATGACATGACCCGAGGGGTATGGTAGGGTCAAACAAAACTCTGACCTGATTTATGATCTTATTGATCACATTGTTAAAGAATTATTATGTATTAAAAAAACTTAAAAAAAAAAATATCACAAATACATAATATAATATATAAAAAAATAAAAATAATTAGAAAGCTTTAGAAGGTAGGTTTTCTTAGATTTATGAATATACCTATATAATTTCATATCCTAATTTTTATATTATAATGCTTATGATTTATTATTATTAAGAAGAATAATTTATTATTATTCAAGAAATACAATTCATTATCTCTAGTTAAATGATATATATATTATTTTTTTCTTAAATGATTTACTATTATTCTAATTAAATAGTTTATTATTATTAACTTAAATAATAACTTATTTCAATATGTTAATTATATATATAATTTTATTTTAAATTTTATTAAATTTAGAATTAGTAACATTTGTCAAATTTATAAATATATAAATGATAATTTTAAAGAAAAACCTATATAAAATTATTAATAAATATAATATTATTTTTTCATTTTAAATATACATTCTATAAAGTAATAATTTTAAAATAATAAGATTTGTATTATTTCTTATTTAAATAAAATGAATCATTAATCAAAATACTTAAAAATACTTATTAAAATATAGGACTAATTATATAATATAATTTAAGATAAATGTTAATATATACAGTAATGTATAAAATAAATGGTAATTTTTACTGAACAGATTATTATTATGTAACTTCTCTAATTTTAATTGAATATACATAAATAAATATGCAAATAAAAGCTTTATAATTAAGATATTATTTTCAAGTTAAACATTTTCTATACTTTAATAAAATATTTAATTTATTAAGCTTTAAAGTGATTTTAATAGGCTAAAAAACTTAATATTAAATAGATTAAATTTCTGAAGATAGGAATACATAGTGCTACTAAAATACATTAATTGATAAGAATTTTATATAAAAATATCACTAAATCTTAAAAATTAGAAAAAATTAAATGTAAAAATGCTTTAATATAGCATTTTAGTTCTTTTATTTAGTAATTTAGTTATTTTACTAAGTAATTTTTTGAAAATAATATCCTAAAGATTTGGATTGTTATTTTAATAATAATCTAGATTTAAAACTTATTGAAAATTATTGGATAATTATTAAAGGAATATGAGATTATATAAGCTAAAATCCTTAGTAAATTAAAAAGTTTTATAAATTATTAAATGAAAAAAGCTTTGTAATTAATTTTGTAGATTTAATATTATGATATTATAAGAAGGTTATTAAAAAACTAATAAATAAATATTATATAATTTTTTTTAAAATAAAATCTACTATTTCTTAACTTTAAAATAACATATTAAATGTTTTATTAGTATAAAGATTGTATAACTATTATAATTTTAAAAATTGTTATTTTTTTGCATATCACTATATAAATAATGTAATTAAATTAAAAATAATTATATTAAATAATTATATTAATTTATCAAAGTATCAAAATAAATAAATTATTTTTGTTTTATTTTAATTTATATATAAAATTTAATTAAATAATAGTTAAAAGTAAATATTAATAATCAAATATTAATATTTAAAAATTTTAATAAATGAATTTATTATATTAGTATTTAAATAATATAATATATATTTAATATAATAGACTTAAATTTTAAATTAAAATAAAAATTATCTTTTTTAATTTTATTAAATAAAATTTTATATTAAAATTATTTTTATTTATAATTAATTTTATTTTATTTTTTAAATTTTTTGAATTTTAAATAATTTTAATATTTTTTTTAATAATAAAATTTTAGATAAATTTATTAGTAATTTTATTAAGATAAAACTTTTTTATATAATTAAAAAATATTTTATTTTAAAATTATAAAAATTAATTTTTATTATTAAAATTAAATATTTTATATTATAAAAAATACATAAATTTTAAATTTAATTATATAAATAAAATTAATTAAACTTAGTTTTAAATATAAAAATTTTAAAAAAATATATTTTAAAATAAATTTTAAAAAAAATTTTTATGTAAAGATTAAAACATTAAAAATAATTTATTTTATGAAAATATTTAAATTATTTATTTAATTTATAAATAAAAATATTATATTTAATTAATATTTTAAAAATAATGTTAATTATTTACAAATATTAAAATATTTTTAATAAAATTTTAAGTAACTTTATTTAAAGTAATTTAAAATAATTAAAATCTATAAAATATATTCTTAAGTTATTAAATAAAAAAAAATTCATAAATTATTATTACATATAAAATGATATTTTTATGAATATTAATTTAATATTAATAAAAATTTAGATTTAAAAATTCAAATATTATATAATTTTTACTTAGTAATTAATTTTATTTAAAGTAATTTATTAATGCTATTAAATAAAAAAAATAATAATTTAAAAATTAATATTTTTATAAAATATTTTATATATTTTATAAATATAATTAAATATAATAAAATTTAGATTAAATAATTTTAAATTTAATAAATAATTTTATTTAAAATATTATAATAATTTATTTTAAATAAAGTATATAAATTATACTTTAAAATTTAATTTTATTAATAAATAATAAGTTTAATTAAATTGAATAGTTTTAGTAAATAAGTAAGTTCATTTGTTTAAATATATTTAAATTTAATAAATTATCTAAATCTTTAATTTTATTATTTTTTATTAAAGTTTTAATTAAAAATAACATTTTAATTAATTGTAATAAATAACAAATAAGCAAAAATCAAGTTATAATAGATAATAAATAAGTATTATAATATTATAATATTTTTAGTTTAATATAATTTTACTATTTTTATAGTTATAATAAAATTTTATCTTTTCTAAGTTACAAATTTTAATAAAATTTTAATATAATCATTAAACTTTATTTATATTATTTAAATGATTTACTAAACTTTAGATTTTGTTTAATAATTTTTTTTTTAAAGGTATAGTAACTTTACATAATTTTTATTAAAAGTAAAGTAAAGTTTTACAAAATTACAAATTACAAAAGAGAGAGTATAAAAATTTCTATTTAGTTAATTAGACTAAATCAAAATCAATCTTATACTGTTCTAGATTAATCTATCCAAATTAATTTAGAATAAGTTTAATTATTCAATACAGGGGGTTTGATTACTACTAATCTAAAAATTGACCAATTCATATCATATTTATAAAAGAAAAAAAATTAATGTAAAACTATGAAAGAGTGAGAGTTTGATAAAAGAAAGTCAGTATTAATAAAGTATATTTTTCGATCAATCATTGATATATTATTGAGACTTTTAAATTATTTAATAATTGTATATCATTTAAACTAAAAGTATTTTATCCAAAGAATACATGATAATAGGTGAAGAAAAGGAGACTGATTGTTAACAATTTATTATTGATAAAGTAATGAATTTTATTGAACAAGAAGAAAGTTACAATTTCTTTAATAAAGTTAATAATATTAAAAAAGCCAATTTGATTATTTAAAAATCAAATGTCTATAGTTAGTAGATCAGAAAAATTCTGAGTTACAGAGGTTAATATTGTTAATTATTATGTAAAGAATTATTTAGTAGAGAATATGATATCAAATATTTGATGTTCAGTACTTTTACAAATTCAAATATAATTGAATATTTCTTAGGTAAATGAGCATTTCATAACTGAATGTAAAGATCTGAATGTCTTATTTTAAGAATTTCAAGTGTAGTAAATAGTTCAAACATGAGTTTAATTTTAAATTTATGAAAAGATAAGGTTTTGAAGAATGTAAGAAACAGGGATGATGATCTCCAGCGACGAAATTTCGCAAAATTTGCTAGTGTTTATTTTAAAATCTGCTCCGCTTTCTGCGGCTTATTATCATCATTCTGCAGATATTTTATTATATTAATTATAATTTCTGCTCATTTCGGCGAAAAAACAAAAATAAATTTTATTAATTTTATTATC